CTAAATTCAGAGCTCACAACACAACTACTTATCTCAGTAGTTGACTAGTGCCAAGATAATATCAGCAGGTCAAACTTAGTTTGAGGAGGGGAAATGTAGCTTTCAGGTGTACCTATTCTCAGGTACACACCAAAGGTATTCTGTGACTGATAATGTAGAATCTTGAGTTTCTTACTCATCCAAAACATTTTCACACCCACAAGCGCCATAGCAAAATCACCAAGCAAAATCAACTTTTTACTAGCCCTTCAGTTTTCAGCTTGCAAGAGTGTCAACATGTCCAGGACAAATGTTCGGAGAACAAAAGCAAAGAAGAGAGAGTGGGGGAAGGCACCCAAAACTCCTAGGAGAACAATAAGTTTCTATGAGGTGTGCCAAGACTCTAAGGAAGTCCAACGGCCAGTCTCCTTGGGGAAAAGAATGAGGAGGCTACACACCATGTCACAAGACTCAGTGCAGCATAGGAACTAAGAGAGGGACAGCCATGAGCTGGCCTAACAGTGAAAAAACTCCCATGAATGAGACGGCATCTCGGCCACAGGCTGTAGTCGAGGTCCCATGATTGGGATGGTGCAGACAAGCCATCCACAGGGAAGAATGAATGTTATTCCAAACCGGGCGCAACAGACAAGGGCCTCAAGTCAGAACCACACGGGGTGTCTCTGCTGAAAGTGAAGGAAGACCTGCTTGTAATTAAGTAATATTTTAGGAAATGCTAAACATTGTCATTGACTTTTATGTCTCTCGTTTTTTTTTTTTTTTTTTTTTTTAATTTTTATGGGATAGTAACTTGAAACGCAGAAAAGCTGAGTGTCTTGCCCAAGGCCACGTAATTACTTTCTGAGAATGCAGCTCTCCTTCCTCCCCGCCACCCTCACCGCAGGGGCCATGGGGTTGGCTGGACAGGAGAGAGCCAGGTTCTAGAAAAGACTTAATCCAGCACAGAAGTTTGAGCACGCTGATGAGGCGATGACAACGCTGCTTCCAAACCATTAATCATGCCACAGTGAACAGACTAGATCTCAATTGACACGACGAGGAGCCAAAAAAAAAAAAAAAAAAAAAAAAAAAAAAGAAAGAAAGAAAGAAAGAAAAAGAAAAAAGAAAAAAGAAGAAGAAGACGAAAGAAAGACCAGACTACAGAAGCTGGTGAACTCATCCTGGGGAAAATATCTGAAAGCCAAGTTTAGAGCACTGGCAGCAACATATGATAAAAATTAGTCAGTTGTTGGGTGGTAGGAAATGGATAAAATGAGTTTTAAAAACACAAATGGAGGCAAGTGTCACTCACAGAAAAATGGACGGCAAGTTCATCATAAAGCAGGCTAAAAGCTTTCCCCTTGGCTCTCCTCTCTGGCTGGCCATTTTCCACCCTCTAACCCTATCCTTTCATCGTGTGTGTGGGTGTGCATGTGAGTGTGCGTGCGTTCATGTATACGTGCATGTGTATGTACAGGCCTGTGAAGATAAAATGTCAAAGTCGGGCGTCTTCCCCACTGTCCACCTTATCTTTGAGACAGCGTTTCTCACTGAACCCAGAGTTTACCAATAAACTTGACTCGTTGGTCAGACAGCCTCAGGGATCCTCTTGTGTGTGTGTGTGTGTGTGTGTGTGTGTGTGTGTGTGTGTGTCTGTCTGTCTGTCTGTCTGTCTGTCTGTCTGTCTGTCTGTCTCTCCCCCTCCCAGCCCCTTCCCCAGCACTGGAGGGACCATCAGGGGAGGCTTTTTCACACAGATGCTGAGACTGAATCAGCAAATACAAGCACTTCAGCAACTAAGCTGTCTCCCATCCCCCATTCTTTCAGATGTTGCAGCCCTGAGTGGATTAAGCCTTAAGAAACAGAAATCAGTGATAAACACAGAAATACTTGCCAAGCCCTTTTTCTATGCCTGCCATCTGCTGTCTTAACACATGATATTTATTAACTCATTAGGCTCTGCAGGTAACTCCATGTAGTAAGCAAATTATTCCTACTTTAGAGCAATGAAACAAGGGCCCAAGCTAAACAGTTAATAGTGAACTGATTTATAATCCAAGAAGTCTGACTCGAGAGTCTACTCACCGAATCTACACTACCCTCCAAAGCTACCGGACAATTTCCATCGCAGTACAGACAAAGACATTGGGGCAGTGGTAATGTAAGATTATCTGCATTATTTTTTAACCTCTGCAGATTTAAGATTATTGAATTTTGCAAGTTTCCCAATGAACAGGCAGGGACCTTATTCATTCTTTGTCATAATTACTCAGTTATACAGCTCTCTCACAGACTTAGCGTTCTGTCCACATCCTCAAAGGTAGCCTAGATTGCTCTGATGCTCTCCTTGGTCCGTGGGTATGTTTGTTTGCCTCTCCAGGGACACCCTATACCCCTTGAGGAGCAGGAATTATATCTCAGTCATATTGCAGGTGCTCAGTTAAACCTGCTGAAGAGAGGAATAAATTAAGGAGTATGAATATGGACAACTTGTCCCAGCCAAACTGGTCCACTTCCAGTCTCCGCATGCTTGATATTTTCCAGTCCTCACTCCCAGAACAGTCCTCTCTCTGCTGTTGCACACACTGAAAGCCCCAACCCATCCTTCACAGGACTCAGCTCAGTTCCACTTGAACTGTGAAATTTGGTCCAGTGGCCTCAACAATCTTAGAGTATCAGTTCAATGCCGTGGAAACTAGCATCTCTGTCACCATACCTTTGATTCAAAGCCAGATTCTAGCACAACTAGCTGCGCTCCTCTGGGATAACTCCTATAAATGTCTAAGGCTTAGCATTTCTTAGCTATAAAGTTAGGCATATAGTACCTTCCTTAGAGAACTGGAGGAATACTGGAAGAAAATCATCTGAACATCAGGCATGCTAGGAAAATGAGGCTCCTCCCAGCCCCCACACTCCTGTACCATTCAGACAGCAATTAAGTGGCAGCACTTAGCTTTTCCCTTCAGTCAGACTTCAATGGCTGGGGAGATCTTTAAGGACAAGAATGAAGCTCATCCACATCCTTTTTAAGATCTCCGCATGCCTTATACAGAAACGCAGCAGACACTGAGAACAAAGGGATTATGAGTTGGGCTGTGACAATCACGTTTTAGTGCTGGCAGGGCTAAAATTATACATTTCCATGCAGCCATGGAATTATCCATGTGTGTAGAATTATCACACAGCACCTCTGTGATTTCACTCATGCCAAAGACTCAATTCAACCAGTAAGTGCAACCAAGGACAGAGGCTTGCTCCCATAGAAAGGTGGCTCTCTCCATACTACTTTTTAAATCAGTCCTAAACTTGGAGTTTTTATGTGTTCCACTGATGCAGAAAATTAAAAGCTAAAACTAAAGCAAACCTAGGAAAATCAAAAGCCCAAATCCGTGGTGGTTGTCAGTAAAATCGAGAGTCCTTTGCCTTTTCTGTACATTTCAACAGCCGGGCTTCACCTCTCTGAACCTGCCAGGGTCCTCTTTTCCCCTGATTTGTCACGGCCTCCATTTATTGTACGTTATCTTCACAGGAATCAGTTCCCATGCCTAGGGCTTTTTGTTCCTTTCGGCTGCTGCCCTACTTGCAGGTGCTGACAAGTTAGAGGAGCTGCAATCTGTTGCTAGTAACCTGCAGCCTAACAAGCACTCTTCATTGATGTGTTCACTTGGCCACATCCCCTTTCCCTGCAGAAACTATTTCTGTAGCTCTCGCTCTGTGGGATGCGTACCAAATTCACCACAGCAGAAGAGTAGAATAAGGCAAAGCCAAGACTCAACCGCACTTCAGCCAGCTATCATTAAGAAACCCTGCTACCTCTCTCAGCTTCATCTTCCTGACCCAAAATTGACTGCCAACGCTGTGTCAGTGGGTTACTCTAGAGATTTTTTTTAATTGTCTCAAAAAGCATAACATAATTCTAAACCATGTGTGAATCTATAGGTATAAATGTATGTGTCATATATTTTAACAAGAGCAATAGTGTAGCCTATGGGTACATACAAAACAAATTTTATGTCATGGAAAGTACCAATTAAATACTTTACTAGATACGGTCCCACTGAAATCCGTGCATCGTGTATTCAAGGAAATGTGTTTTGCTTGTTTATTGACAAGGAAAATCTAGCTTGGGGACAGATGTGCAAGTCTGGGTTCTAAGTCTCAAAGCAAGTACATTGTATAACATGGGTTTATATTGTTGCAAGAAAACTTTTACTTGCAGCCAAATAGACCCAAATTCTGCCTCTTTAATCAGTCATGGCTTAAAGCCATGGCTTAAAGCTCATTAATTTGTGGGCTTAGGATTTCAGCACAGTGGTCTTCATATGGACCTTAACCATGATTTCATATTTAAAATAGCAGCATCATTACATTTGAAGATTCCTTAGTCACTCTTTGTGTACAGTTTCCTAGGCAAAAATATGAATATACTCTCATTTACCAAATAAAAAACATTCTATATAAGAGATTATGTGTGTGCGTGTGTTTCCTAAATTGTGCTTCTTACACAAGTTGTGGCAACTTTCAGCACTAATAAAATAGTTCAGCATATTCTGTTTTTGTTGTTTACTTAGTTTATAATCCTTATTAGAGCATGATTATTACAGTACACACTTGCTAGTTATTGCAATTCTTAAAGCTGTTTAAAATGTCCATCTGAAAATTCTTATTTCAACTACATTTGTAATCAGATTTCTTTTTTCATACTTAGCAAATACTAAATACAACCTAAATTAGCATTAGAAAAATTGTTACTCAATGGTCTCCAAAAGGTAAAACGTACTCATCTGAACTCCACCCGTTTTCAGTTTCAACACAGCAAGTCTCCTGTTGTACCCAGGGCAAATTCAAAAGCATTGAAAAGGTATTGGTTATTACTGCATATAATTTATGCAATCATCAGCCAAACATGCTAAGCTGGCAAAAAGAAAACCATGCAAGCAAGCAAACCAGAGGACCTATGAGACACGCCCTCTCAGTATATAAAGGCCTGTCACTGTCCTTGGTAGCAGGCACTCCCTGAGCTACTCTCCATCACCATGTCTGTTCGATACAGCTCCAGCAAGCAATTCTCTTCCTCCCGCAGTGGAGGAGGAGGTGGTGGAGGATCATCCCTCAGAATTTCCAGCAGCAAAAGCTCCCATGGTGGAGGGTTTAGCTCAGGGGGGTTCAGCGGTGGCTCTTTTAGCCGAGGAAGCTCTGGTGGAGGTTGCTTTGGGGGCTCATCAGGTGGCTATGGAGGCTTTGGAGGAGGCAGCTTTGGGGGAGGCTATGGAGGAAGCAACTTTGTCGGAAGCTACGGAGGAGGCAGCTATGGAGGAGGCAGCTTTGGAGGTGGCAGCTTTGGAGGGGGCAGCTTCGGTGGAGGTGGCTTCGGTGGAGGCTTTGGTGGTGGATATGGAGGAGATGGTGGTGGCCTTCTCTCTGGAAATGAAAAGGTAACCATGCAGAACCTGAACGACCGTCTGGCTTCCTACATGGACAAAGTCCGGGCTCTGGAAGAGTCAAACTATGAGCTGGAAGGTAAAATCAAAGAATGGTATGATAAGCATGGCAACTCCAGCCAGCGAGAGCCCCGGGACTACAGCAAATACTACCAAACCATTGAAGACCTTAAGAACCAGGTAAGGGGCATTTTAAATTCCAGCTTCAAATCATTTCTACCCATGTAATGCAGACAGATGAAACCAAGCTAAGCATAGCGTGGCTGATCACTGTGTCTACCTGTAATCTTTCCACGTCTACTGTAACCAAGTCTCATCAAAGATATTTATGAAGGCATGGCATGCCTATCTTCATCCAGCATGTGTGTTGCCTGTCTCCAGGGTGACAGACAACTGTAAGTTGTCATATCCAGCACCAATAATGCAGGAAACACCAACTTTCCAATATAGAATCTAGGGAATCTGTTAACCACATCTATAAATTCAGAGTATATGCACTTATAAGTATTTATAACAACTTAAACAAATGTACATGTGAGTCACTAAAAAAAGCTACAACACGAGAAAATCACAAACCATAAAGAGTCATCATATACCTATATAATGCCAGCTAATGTTCACAAAAGAATCATGGCTATAAAAGTACTGAAACCGTAAGAGGAAGAAATTACTATATGTTATATTACATATGGCAAATTTGTAATGGTCTATGCTTAAATTAACCTCCCCCAAAAGTTCTGGAAGGGAACTATATCAAAGTGCAGTATACCTATGCTAATCTAAGAGCCATAAACACGCCTGATCTTTTGTCTCCCTCCAGATCCTCACCCTGACAACGGACAACGCCAATGTCCTGCTGCAGATCGACAATGCCAGACTGGCAGCTGATGACTTCAGACTGAAGTAAGCTAAGTGACTGTGGTGCAAATAAAGCAGCTGTTTTTAGCATTGACCTTGGATGCCCATAACAACATTTACATTTTCCTAAACTCACCCAGAGTGAAACAGTTCTGAGCTCTTAAAGAAAGTTTTCATTGTAATAATATCTTCTGGGTAATCTTTAAAGGAAGATGTGTTTTAAGGTTAACTCTTTGTATTAAACTATTGATAGTCCTACATGAATTTGGGTATTACAAATGTTGCCATGATGTTGAATCAAATCTGTATTTGCATTTTAAGTCAGTCTTTGACCAGGTATGCCTTCATTGGCCTGTATGTCCAATGTCTGAATCCTGTTCCTTTCAGATATGAGAATGAGGTAGCCCTTCGACAGAGTGTGGAAGCTGACATCAATGGCCTGCGCAGGGTACTGGATGAGCTGACCCTTAGCAAGGCTGACCTAGAGATGCAGATTGAGAGTGTGACTGAAGAGCTGGCTTACCTGAAGAAGAACCATGAAGAGGTGACACAAAATTACATCCCCCACCCCCCCCCCAAAAAAACAGTTCACCTTGGTCACGGTGCATTCATTAAATCTAACTGTTCCTCAAATAGGAAATGAGAGACCTTCAGAATGTGTCCACTGGTGATGTGAACGTGGAAATGAATGCTGCTCCAGGAGTTGACCTGACTCAAATGCTGGACAACATGAGAAACCAGTATGAACAACTTGCAGAAAAGAACCGCAAGGATGTGGAAGCCTGGTTCAATGAGAAGGCAAGTTAATTCCTCTCCTCAGCGAAGCTCGTGGAGGGTTTGTTATCATGCCGGGATGTTCTCATCTTTTCCCGTTTCTAACCCTCTAGAGCAAGGAACTCACCACAGAAATTGACAGCAACATTGAACAAATGTCCAGCCATAAGAGTGAAATTACTGAACTGAGACGCACTGTTCAGGGTCTGGAGATCGAGCTACAGTCCCAACTGGCTCTGGTATGTTAAATCTTGTAAAACAGCTTCCATTTTATCCTGCAATGTTTCGTGCTAAAAAATGAGTTGGGGGGGGGGGTCAAGAAAGTGGAACCAAAATCTCGGCTTTGGGGGAAGAGGGATTAGAACTGTTGGCACTGAGGCAGTCGGGCTCAAACTGCAGTACTGCCATAAGGCAGAAACCCTATCCATTTTCCTTCTATGACGCCTTACTGAAGAATTTCCGTGCTGCATTCACTACACTTAATAAAACCTTCTTCTCAGAAACAATCGCTGGAAGCCTCCCTGGCAGAAACAGAAGGTCGCTACTGCGTGCAGCTCTCCCAGATCCAAAGCCAGATCTCCGCCCTGGAGGAACAGCTGCAACAGATTCGGGCTGAGACCGAGTGCCAGAACGCCGAGTACCAACAACTCCTAGACATTAAGACCAGACTGGAGAACGAGATCCAAACCTACCGCAGCCTGCTAGAAGGAGAAGGAAGGTATAATGGAAACTTGCAAAGTGCCTCCAATTGCTTCCCTTCAGGGTTCCACAGAGCCAAGCTTACCCAAACCCAGGGACATGCAAGAGAGAGAGTGGGGCAAAGGAGGCGGGAAGGGGGCCGTGATGCTTTCGGAAATTAGGGCTGTGTGCATAAACACTTAATGGATGGATCAACGGATGAGCTTTCGCAGACACACTTGACCGGATTGTATTTTCTCAAAATACTAATCTGGAGCGCAACCTGACGCTTCCATGTCAGAAGCAACCACATTTGACCCTCACACTCCGTTTAGTTCCGGAGGCGGATCCTACGGCGGCGGACGCGGCGGCGGCAGCCACGGCGGCAGCTACGGCGGCGGAAGTTCCGGTGGCAGCCACGGAGGCAGTTCCGGTGGCGGCTACGGCGGCGGAAGTTCCAGCGGAGGTGGTCACGGCGGCAGTTCCGGCGGTGGCTACGGCGGCGGAAGTTCCAGCGGAGGTGGTCACGGCGGCAGTTCCGGCGGTGGCTACGGCGGCGGAAGTTCCGGCGGAGGCCAGAGCGGAAGCGGAGGGTTCAAGTCTTCTTCTTCCGGGTCTGGTGGCGACCAGTCGTCTAAAGGACCAAGGTCAGCAGAAACTAACTGGGGTAATCTGAATTAGTTTTAATTTTCCCCAGTGGTTTTGTTGCTCTTTAAACTCAAGAGCTGATTTTAAAACGATGAAAATCTCGAGTTAGATTTTCATTTTTGTTTTTAATAGACGTCAGTGTTGGGAAAATGCCATCTACAGCTTCAGTTTGTTTTTTTTTTTTAAAGAACAAATTGGAAAAGATGTATTGTCTTACTTTTGTAATATTGGCTTGTTAAGCTAGGACCCCTACATGTCGTTTCATCTAAGTTCTAATTTTTCTTTCTACTCACAGATACTAACAAAACCAGAGTGATCAAGACGATTATTGAGGAGGTGACACCCAATGGTCGAGTCCTTTCGTCTATGATTGAATCAGAAACCAAGAAACACTTCTACTAAGCTGCATAAAGAAGAGTCTCTTCACACAGACCACTGCACAGATGTGTGGAAAACAAGATGTCCAAGAAAGCACTTCTGTCTTAATGGTCTATAAAAATAGGTTCACTCCTTGAAAATAAGGGTCTAAAAGGTGTTTTGTGGTTTCTGTATTTCTTCTTTTCACTTATCACAAAGTGTTCTTTTGTGGAGAAAAAAAAAAAGAAAAGAAAACTTTCTCATTTACTAATGATTTTCTCATTTACTAATGGATTTCAATAAACTTTCTTACTGATGCAAACTATCTAAATTTGTCAGAATTATTATTTAATTGCGTGGGTGTGCTCAGACCAATATGAGTAATGTAGGTGAAAAAGTCCAAAACTCCCCCAAAGTTACATTTCCTGAAGCTACACAATGAGTGGAGAACTCCCAGCTCTCTGGCTTTAAATTGTTTCAACCTTGGAAGTTTTGAAACCATCTCAAACAAGATTGCCAAAATAAAAGGGAAATTTCACAATCTATTATTTCTCATCATTTCTGACTATATTCTCTCAGTTATGACATTGGTTCTCAATTCTTATGCACCATTTAAAATATATCTTCCAATCAAAATCTAACAACAAAAAAATCAACCAGTCCAACAAAAAATAATATCAAAATTATTACACAGCCAGGTGATATACCTGTGTGTCCAAACAGACATCTCTAAGTCTCCTTGCTTTCCCCAATTCCTTTGCAACTGATATGACCTCGTCCTTTCTTCAGTATACACTGAACTGTATCTCTCAACCAGTTAGACCCCAACTTCGCTAGCTAGTTTTGTGTCAACTTGATACAAGCTACAGTCATCTGAAAGGAAGAAACCTCAATTGAGGAAAATAGCACCCTAAGATTTAGGCTATTGGCAAACCTGTGGGTATATTTTTAAATTAATGACTGATGGGAAAGGGCTCAGCCCATTGTTAGTGAAGCCACCCCAGGCTAGTGGTCCTGAGTTCCATGAGAAAGGAGTCTGAGCAAGACATGAGAAGAAAGTCAGTAAGCAGCACTCCTCCATGGCCTCTGCATCAGCTCCTGTCTCCAGTTTCCTGCCCTGATTTCCTTCAATGATGAACAGTGGTGAGGAAGCATAAGACATATAAATCTTCTCAGATTCCTTTGGTCATGATGTTTCATCACAGTAATAGTGACCAACTGACAATATTTATACTCATAAGTACTAAAGGGGGAAAATAGCAGTGTGCTTCTGAATTGCCCATGTCCACTGAGTAGCAGCTTCAGCATCTTTCCTGATTTGAACACCAGTGTTTTTCAAGATCTGAGTCTTGATCCCTTGCCATTTCAGTGGGACTCCACTAAATAAGCCCTACCCTGATATATAACACACTTTAGAATGCATCCTTGGGCTTAGTGCCCTCCTCAGACAATGAGAACTAGACTTTCTTTTCATATCAAGAATCTCTATTACAGAAAATTTTTCCAGCCTATACACTTTGAGACTCCTTTGTCAATCTATGTACTTTGAAACTCCCTTGGGATACTAAATTGTATCCGGGTGTAAATCTAAACTAGATTATAATGGTAGTGAGGAGAGGACTGACTCTGTTACCTATCACTGTAAACTCCACCCTAGCACGGTTTTCAACACAAAGTGTTAAAGCCCAATAAGTACTAGTTGAGCAACAAAATTAGTGAGTCATATCCAAATAAGTAAATGCAGTACCTCCCAGGGTGAAGCCAGAAATTCTGGGGACTAAAAATCAATAAGTATTTACTTCCACTGTATGACAATGCAAACAAAACCAACTCTTTTGTACAATTATATGATTCTTTTAAACACATTGTCAACAAAATGGAAATGATTCAGTTGAGTCAAAAAGGAAAAGGGTATCCATGACACCCAGGGCCTTCCGCCTTCCGTGTGCTAGAAGCTTGGTTAGCTCTCCACCTTCAGTACTTCTCTTTCGTCCAGTAATAGCAACCCCATTCTTACCAGAAAATTGTAGAAGCATGAGGAACTAAACCATAACCAGTAAGGATGCTTCCAAATGTGAATGTAGGGGAAGCCATCCAAATGCCAAACAACCAAAGCCATGGAACCCTCTGTCTCCTTGTTCTCTGGCATTGAGAAGGTAAAGAGCGAAATGAACAGTCCTTCTAAGGAGGTAATAAACACCGTAAGTATTAGTGCAGAGAACCCTCCCACATGGAGAAGAGGAGGGGCAGGGACAGCAGAAACAACTGTGGAGAAAGGACAAGGCTGCTGGACCATATCGAGTGTTTCTTGTACGTTTGAGTATCAATGGTAAAATCTATTCACAACCAATTCCAGGACTCTGCTGAGTGAAAAGGAGGGCACAACCATGCCTAGGTATGGTTGAGTAAAAAGAGTCTTATGAGGGAAAGCACAGCCAGAGACATCTGGAAGAGTCCAGAATAGATACGGCCAGCAGAATAGACTAGGCCATGAGAGAGTGGAGGGAGAGTGAGAAAGGAATAGAAAGGAGCAAGGGAGGGGACCAGCAGGGGGAAAGAACCAAGAAGAGCACATGGACAAAGAGGCCAAGAGCCAAAGAGAACCAAGAAGCTTCGGAAAGGGAAGCAAAGCTCAGGTTGGAGAGGTTTAGGCTGGGGGCAGGGTTGAGAAGTACTGAGTGCACAAGGAATCTGTCACAGGTACTTGCACTGCTCAGAATATCCACTTTGATATGTTAATAGGCACCTCAGCTAGCCATCTGTCCTGAGTTTCTTCCAGACTTTTTAATACCTACCCAGAGGAGAGATTACAGTGTCTGAGAATTTAAGTCAGTGGTTGAAAGACATCCATTCACTCAACTAGCGTGTGTGTGTGTGTGTGTGTGTGTGTGTGTGTGTGTGTGTGTGTGTGAAGACACAGCCACTTCTTGTCATGCATGCCATAGAAGATGTGTCCATCAGAGACTAAAGATCATGGACAAGATGCCCAGGCACTCAAAATAGTGTGTCAGAGAAGGTCTCTAGAAAATGTGACTTGAACAGATCCTGAGGATCCCAGAAAACAGCTAATTAGAAAGAATGAGAAATCTAGGACTGCCAGGGACGTGTTTACAATGCACAGCACCCAAGATCTCTACTACAACAGCTCTAAGAAAGCTTTCTCAGAATCAGGATTATTTATCCTTACTTCAGTCATATCTGGAAAGCCCATTTCATTATGTATAGGAATATATTCTCATAATTTTTGGTTCCTCTCTTGTCCGTTCACTCCTACCCTTACCTCAGCTAATCACTGCCAGGTGCTGTTTAGACTGTCTTCAAAATGATCACAATGCCAATTAGCTCAGCCCTGACTTTAACATCTCCCCCAAATTACTGTGACTGGCTTTCTAATGATGTCTCATACAGATTCTTATTCCATCACCAGACACCCTCCTCAAAGCAGCCAGAACAACAACAAACAAACAAACCAAAAACCTCCCCCACTTATATTTCTCAAGGGTTACCTTTCATGCCCAGAGCCAAATTTTAAGTCCACCCCCTAGCCCAATACATTCTTTTATCAGCCACTTCCTGATACACTACCATCCGTACATCCTCCAGTTCCTTGAAGGCACCACACTCTTCCTTCCTGCTATGATTTGGCTATGGTTTGAGTGTGTTCCCCAAAGGTTCATGTGTTCAAAGTTGATCACTAGAATGGCAATGCTCAGAAGTCATGGGACTCCTCCTGGGAGTTAATTAGATCCTTGTGGGCACCACCCTTGGAAGGACTTGATGAAGTTCTCTTGAGATCTGGGTTAGTCTTCCGAAAGTGTTGCTGTACAAGAGTGATCCAGAGAGATGGCTCAGCAGTTAGGAGCACTGGCTATTCTTCCGGAGGACGGGAGTTCAATTCCCAGCACCCACGTGGCTGCTCTCTACTGTCTGTAACTTCAGTTCCAGGGGATCTGACACCTTCACACCAATGCATATAAATTAAAGTTAAATAAATCATTTTTTAAAAGAGTGGTCCTGACTCTGCTGTGTTCTAACTTTTTACCTCACCAGGCAGCCTTTCCCTCCACGATGCCATCATCCTTACCAAACCTCTAGAACCCTAACCCTAACTCCAGAACTATGAGCTAAAAATAATCCTTTCATTATAATGTATCCAGTCTCTGGCAACTCATTGTATTAATATAAAACAAACTACAAGCTCCTGGGGCTAAATAGAAATATTTTATTCAAAAATACATTCTTTTCCCCCTCTAAGAAAAGCCTTGTCATATCCCTACCTAAAAAATAATTTTTCATCTTTCTTGTTTAACTTAATGTTGTTTCTTTAGAAGAGTACTCTAGCCTAAACTAAGTCTTCTTTGGTAGTTTTATATTGTTTCTCTCCCTAATTTTTAACACAATTTCTATTTTATGATTATTTACTTAGGACCAATTCCCCATCCTACTCCCAAAAAGTCCATAAGAGTTGAGAATGTGTCTGTTTTTCTTTCTGTTTTACCTGCTGCTAGCATAGGGCCTGGTATATAATAGGTCATCGTTAAATATTTCTTTGTTTTAAGCCTATTTAATTTTATCTTATGTGTATAAATGTTTTGCCTCCCCATGTCTCAGCATGCAGTACCTGTGTAGGCCAGAAGAGGGCGTCATTTACCTTGGAACTGGAGTTACAGATGTTATGATGCAGGTGAGGGAAACCAAACCCAGGACCATTACAAGATAAATACTGTGACCAAAGGCAACTTGAGGGAGGAATGCGTTTATTTCGTCTTACACTTCACAATCACTGTACATCAGTAAAGGAAGCCAAGGCAGGAAATCACAGAGGGCAGGAACCTGGAAGCAGGACTGAAACCCAGACCATGAAGGCTTTTGCTGCTTGTTGGCTTGGTCTCAAGCTCAGGACCACCTGCCCTACGGTGGCACCACCCACAGTGGGCTGGGACCTCCCACATCAATCATAAATAAAGAAAATGCTCCCACAGACTTTCTTAAAGGCTAATCTGATGGAGGTATTTTCTCAATCTAGGATTCCTCTTCCCAGGCGACACTAGTCTGGGTCAAGAAGAATCTGGTCTACACGAAAGGAAATCTCTCCTTTCCTGATTTCCAGCTTCCTTGAGATGATGTTCAAGAAACTCCGTTGGAATCTATAGCACACACTATCAATACAAGGCAATCAGATAAGGTTCTGCCCTATACGCCCAAGCAGCGACATCCATTTGAAGACCAGCACTGCCCCCTGGTGGAAATAATAGCCAGGGGCAAGTATGGCCATCAACGTGGGATCAGAGAACTGACTTATTTAAATATATGCTTCTTGAGGAG